AAAAACGAAGGAATTTAATAAATGCCAATTTGGGTTTGGCTTGAGGCGATGCTCCATTGAAGAACAATAGTAAGACGTCTCTGATATTCAATGGTGGGAACTAAAAGTCATAGTCATGTAAATGAGTATGAATTAGTCATAGATTCCCCCCCCGATACTCTAAATAGTCATATTGCTTAGAAGATTATAATCATAGTAGCAAAGCCCCCAAAGCTCCCTGTAATGTATAAATAACCTTCGATCTATATGAGGGGAGACAAGTATTATAATAATAAAGACCACCTTATAATAAACTCCGGGGATCCTGGTGGCAATAGGATCCTTGGTTCTCGGACCAAATCTTCCACGCCTTCTTTCGAGTAGCCTTTGGTCTTTGTTGTGTTTTAGGCTGCAAGTACTAGTCACCTCAAATCCTTTTAGTAATAAATAAATAAACCGGTGATTTTATCATCTGACTTGTCATGCTTTTTCTGACCAGAATCAGCTTTTTTGACGAGATCGGCATGTATGATGACTAAACTGCTATTAATTTATAAGAGCAAAATTTACATTTGCGCTTGATGTCGAACATGGTGCCCTCAGAAAATAACACAGGACAGGGCTAGGTAGTGGGCAAGTGGAAATAAAGATGCCGGTGATTATATTAAAGAATTTCATAAAGCTACTGAATATGAAGTTATTAAGTGGACTCCTTTTATTAGACTTATATAACGCTCAAAAGAACGAGGTTCAGTGTTTTCACATGGCTATCGATAGATAGCAAAAGAATAATTTCAGGTAGTTGAGAAGTCATGTACACTATGCACGTGTTAATGACCAAAGTATTTAACCTTCGACTTTATTTTTCACATTTATTGCTCTCATATTGATATCATTTATTTATTTTTTTTTTTTACGTGTCCATGTCTTCAACTCAAACGTATTTGATTTTGATGGAGACTGTCAGACTTAAACATCAATGCTTGTTAGTCAGTTCAACGTGAAGTTCATCAAATGTATATCGTTGCAATACCCAACGACTAAAGAGATCAATATATGGGGGAGTCCCTTCGATAGGTACTCCAATGGAACACCTGGAAGACAATTGAGAGTTTTTAAAAAAGGCCAAGCCATAAAACCTTATTTTATGGATCCTTATAAAGAAATGGACTTTGTAGATGCTTTGTCGAGAGCTCCAAGATATGAACGGTTGCTCCCCACAGTTCGAATTGAAAGAAGAATTCGTTATATAGGAATCTTCGAAAAAAATGAAATTGATAATTTAAAAAATAACTATCCACCACTTACAATAGGACATGATTGGAGTTTCGAAGGTTCATGTATTTTTCTTATTTTAAACACATCCGATAAACTAATTAAGGAACCAGGATCCATGGGATCTATTGTTACAGTGAGAACAATATTGTCTATATGTTTACAAACCTCCCTGGAGCGCTTACAAACTTGTAATTTGACCAAGACCTGTGTAACGTAAAAATCGGAAAGAACACTTTTTTTTTTACAAAAAAAAACAGGAGTGATTCTAATTTTAATTAAGAAACCAACTCCTGAGCCTATTTAAATGATTCTTGCGCAGTTCGCATTTATTATGAAATAGCACTCTTACATAATAATATTATTATTCATAGAGATCTCGTAAGTGCTAATATTTTTTCTGGATTTTATATTGATAACCTTATGGAATTTAATTTATTAATATCTAATAATTTGTATTCAAAGAACATTTTAATTCATCAAGAACAAACAAATCTACAAATAATGAGATGTCTATGACTTCAATTTCAATTGTTCGTGGGATGTCTACTTATAATGAACCGCAATACTTTACTGTTCCCGGATACAAAAGTGATATGAAAATCCGATGTCTATATTTTGAAATAATCTTCTGGAAAATTTCAAATCGTAGACCATCCCTTCGATATATATATGATAAATGGTTTAATATCACAAGGAAAAAGAGAAGAGCCTATCAAAGGCACACTATTGCAATATATAAATAATTTTGGGATAAGAATCCTGTAAATCGCCCAGAGACGAAAACAATTCTCAATACTTTAGAACAACTTGCTAGTTAAGGTTTAAATCACCCACTACCGACGAACATTTAATTGAATATAATACGACTTTTTTTTCAAGACTTGTCAAATCACATCAGCCCACTTAAATTAAGGATAATACGACTTCTTCAAGTCCTATCAATTTACATATCAACCTACTTGAATTAAGGATAATACGACTTCAAGTCTTATCAATTCACATATCAACCCACTTGAATTTACGATATCGGCACCACTTTATTTACCTGACACGATAGATTCAACACTTC